TAGGAATGGCACAGGGCCCAAGCTAGGAGTAGAGAACAGCGGGGGAGATGGAAGTGTGAACGCGGCTGGGGGAGTCCAGACACAGAGGGCTGTTCGATAGACTTACCCGAAGAGAGGCATGAGGGCAGGAGAGTGGGCCAGGAGAATTAGTCGGTGGTGCAGGTCAGGGGAAGCAGGGAGAGGTGAGGGTGGGACTAGGTCCCGCCGAAGCAGTGCTCCTGGAGCCCAAGGAAGGTACCAAACTGGCCTGGGCGAAAAGGATCAGGAAGCAGCGCCGGTTCCCCAGGTGTCTGGGGACCCAAGACCAGGAGTGGCACAGGGCCCAAACCAGTAGCAGAGAACAGCTGGAGAGATGGAAGGGAGGATGAGGCCGGGGGAGTCAAGGTGCGGGGGGCTCCGCGATGGACCCACCCTGAGAGGCCTGAGGATAGGGGAGCCAGAAAAATAATATTTTTTAAGATTTATGTTATTTTACTTTATTTTTCATTGTGTGTGTGTGTGTGTGTGTGTGTGTGTGTGTGTGTGTGTGTGTGAATGTACGTGTGTGTACAGGTGCCTGCTAAGGCCTGGGAGGGCATTGGATTCCCTGGAGGATGAGTTACAGGTAGTTGTAAGCAGGGTACTGGGAACCAAACTTAGGTCTTCTGTAAGAGCAGTGTACACTCTTTAACTACTGAGCTATTTCTCCAGTCCTTGGAGCAGTATTTTTTAAATGATCTATTAGCTGGGTATGGTTGCATACACCTGTAAGCCACTAGTACTTGGGAGGGGCAGGAGGACTGAGAGTTCAAGGCCAGTCAGCCTTGCTTACATTGCGAGATTCATCCTCAAAAAAGAAAAACAGAAACAAAAATCAGACCAAATACACCCACTAATTCGTGCTAAAATAGAAATTACATCTTTTGAAAAAAAAATAAAGCAGAATTTTTTTCTTTAAACCTCTACAAAAAATGTTATGTCTGTGGAAATGTTAATGAACATTATTGGTTTTGAACACATTTTAAAAGCTATCTGCAAGCCAGGTGTGGTGGTACACCTGTAGTCCCAGCAGTTGGGAGGCAAAGGCAGGTGGATCTCTGTGAGTTCAAGGCCAACCTGGTTTACATAGTGACTTCCAGGCCAGCTGGGGGTATAGGGAGACCCTGTTTCAAAAAGACCAAAAACAAACAAAGAACCAACCAACCAACCAAACAAACATACAAAAAACAACAACAAAAAGCTATCTGCCACTTCTTTTCTTCTATACTGATCATTTAAAAAATTTTAGTGAAGCTTTGTCAAATTGTCAGTTCTATGTTTATATTCTAGGAATTCAATTTTCCAATCACTCTTTTATTTTCAACCCCCTAACCAAATCTTCAGCCTATTGTACTAGAATGTTTTCATTCTGTTTCATTTGTGATATTATGTTGAATTTCTTTATGATCTAATGATAGGTGATTCTTATACAATTCTTAGAGAAAAAGGATTTTATTTTATAAATAACTTCTAGAAGTCCTCAAATCATATATTGTTTTTTCTTTTTTGTAGAATTGCTAAACTTTGTTTAATCTAATGTATGCCAAATATAGAATCTAAGCACTACATTTACTGATAATTTTATGAGAGGGGAACTGAGGGAGAAGAAAGAGAATTTGTACATAGAGAGGTTCTGGGTGAGGTCTCTGCTTCAGACTTGGAGCATCTCACGTCAAGTTGTCTTGGGGTTCTTCATAATATTTGTCAATGAGGAGGAAGTTTAATATGAGATGGCTCAGTGGTTAAGACCACTGACTGCTCTTACAGAGGACCTCAGTTCAATTCCCAGCACCCACATGGTGGCTAACAACTGTCTGTAACTCCAGTTCCAGGGAATCCAGTGCCCTGTTTTGCCCTCCAAGGACATTGCATGACACAGGTGCACTTACATACAGGGAGGCACTCATACACATAAGAATAATAAATAAAATATTTTTAAAAGGTGGGTACTTTAAAAAATGTGTTCTCCAGAGCAAAACCTTATGCGTTGCAATGAGCTAGGGCTGATATAACAAAATACTGCTGGATGTTTTAAACAATAGTTATTTTCTCATAGTTAGGGAAGTATATGAGTGAGGAAGTGAGTTTGGTTTCTTCTGGCCCTTCTCTTCTCCCCTTGGTGAACAGATGGCTACCTACTGGCTATGTCCTCACAGTCTTTCCTCGGTTCATGAACATGCCTGTGTCCCAATCTTCTCTTCCTGTTAGGCACTACTTGTATTGGATTATACCCACTTTTTGGAAAGGATCTTACCTCCAAATGCAGTCACATTCTGAGGTATTTGAAGGATTTCAACAGATGAATGGGAGGGTACAGTTCAGCTCAGGACGAATTCACAGCACAGCTTCCTTTTCTTTCTTTCTCTTTTTTTTTTTTTTTGGTCTTTTTGAGACAGGGTCTCCCTGTAGCCCCAGCTGGTCTGGAACTTGTTATGTAAACCAGGCTGGCCTTGAACTCATAGAGACAGAGATAGATCTGCCTGCCTCTGCCTCCCAAGTGCTGGTATTAAAGGCACGTACCACCAAGCCGGGCTTATTTTACTCATTGTTTGTATTTCTCTCTGTGTGTGTGTGTGTGTGTGTGTGTGTGTGTGTGTGTGAGAGAGAGAGAGAGAGAGAGAGAGAGAGAGAGACAGGGTTTTACTATGTAACTTGGACCGATCTCATGATGCCTGTGCTGGGATTATAGTCTTGTATCATTGTGTTCAGCTTTTTTACTTGGCTCTTATTTGAAGCCATTCCTTAAAAGTTTCTTTTCTTTTTAAATTAAATTTTTTAATTGGGCTTTTTAAATTTCATACATTTCCCACTCAAATCTAGATCCCCTTCCATCGATGCCCCCCCACCCTGAATCGTATGTATTCTTCCATACAGCCTGAGTCCTATTCATTCAGGTGTTTGTACCCAAATGTCTTTCAGTGTAAATGGGTCCACTGGAGTCTAGTCAGCCCATCCAGTGGTCATATGTAAGTCATACTCTTTCCTCACCCAGCAGCAATCAGCCTCAAATAGTTCTCAATCTAGTGCTGGTCTGCCATCTATTTCTCACTTTCCCTTTGGGCCCTTGTTTAATTGAGCTGACATGACTCCACTGCTGCCACAGGCTCACATGAGCAAGCCTCCAGTGACCTGGAGGCCTCTACCTCCCTGTGTTCATGAACCAGCCCTGGCTTTTACAATCCTTCTGCCTCTTCTTCCACAGTGGTCCTTGAGTCTTAAAAGTTTCTTATCACTGCATAGTTTTATTCTTTTATAATGTATTGATCAAATTAATCAATATACCCTCATCAATACATAGTAAGACTCCCTTTCTTATATTTCCTTATAGATAAATTATTTATCGGTCTTCCTTGTTTTACTCATTGTTTGTATTTGTATGTGTGTGTATGTGTGTGTGTGTGTGTGTGTGTGTGTATCATGTCCAGCTGATGACACGATGGAAATATTAGGCTGCTAATTCTGTCTTAGAAACTACATCATTATTTATGATCATAAATATGAGTTTTTGATCACATTTAGGAGCAATGACAGAGCATGTTACTATTTTTGCCTGATGGGGGATTTATTTATAGAGTTTGGGGATTTCTGTAGTATTTTCTGTTAGCTGACTCTGGATAGGAGAGAAGGAAAGGAATGAGGAGAGGAAATAGGAATTGAAGGATAGAACACGTTGCTGAGGATCAAATTGAAGTGTTTGTGGGGCCTTAGTAGTAATAGCTTATGTTTATTATAGTTAACAGTACAAAGCTCTTACCACATTTAATCCTCAGTGTAATTTTTATCTATCTACCCACCTACCCACCTACCTACCTACCTACCTATCTTATCTATCAATGCATGCTAGAGCAAGATTTTCTTTTTAAGCCAGTGATATGGCTCAGTGGGTAAAGGTGCTTGTCACCAAGCCTGATGACCTGAGTTTGACCCCTGAACCCACATGGTGGAAGGAGAGAACCAACTTCTGAAAGTTGTCCTCTGACTTCCTTGTGTGTTTCACATGCATAAACAATCCCCCCCCCTCTCAATCTGTGCTGGATAGGTTTAGTGTCAACTTGACACACCTGGGTTGAGGGAGCCTCAATTGGGGAATTGCCTCTGTAGGACTGGCCTGTGGCCATGTCTGTGGGGCATTTTCTTGATTGATGAGTGATGTGGGAGGGCAGGTGGGCCTGTGTTGCAAAAAAAAGCAAGCTGAGCAGGGGCCAGGGAAACAAGCCTGTAAGCAGCATTCCTCCATGGCCCGGCAGCTGTAAGACAAATAAAGTCTTCCCTCCCCATGTTGGTAGTGGTCAGGGTGTTTTGTCACAGCAATGGAGAAACAAACTAGAACACAATCCAATATAAAACTTAAAAAGTTTTTCTGTGGTTTTAATGCACATAAAGTAAGACTTTTGAAGTCTAGGTAGATCCCTATGATTGAGATGTATTCACATTGTGAGATGACACAAGATTGATTAGGAGCTATGATAAGACATAGTGCTTGGATAAGGGTTAGAAAGGAACTGGATTCTAGTTTCAAATATATTGCTTGTTGTTTGAACTTTGAGTGTCAATTTATTTTATTTTTATTTTATGTGTACGAGTTTATCATGTTGCACAATGCCCATGGAGGTCAGAAGAGGGTGTCGAATTCCCTGGAATTGGAGTTAAGGATGGTTGTTAGGCACCATGGAACCTAACCCATGTCCTCTGCAAGAGTAGTCAGTGCTCTTAGCTGCCGAGCTGTCTCTGCAGCTCCAGAGCTTCAGTTTTTATAACTGTATTCAGAAATCTTTGTCAGGGCCTGAGCACAGGAGGTATTTGATTAGATAGCTAATAAATGAATGAAAAAGAGAAAATAATTCTGCCCTGCCTACTTTTATTACTTTCTATAAGAATGAATTCCCAAGAACGTATAATACTTTCTAAAAATTTAGAAAATTGTTACAAATGACAACTTTTTTGTGTGTTTGTATGTGTTTCTGTTTTTTTTTTTTAAACAGCTGCAGGGCAAGGCCACATAGAGTGTTTGCAGTGGTTAATTAATGTGGGAGCAGACAGCAATATTACCAACAAAGCGGGAGAGAGACCCAGTGATGTGGCTAAGAGGTACAGACCCCCTCTCTACTGTGCTCCTATCTTTGTTTTTAAAGTTTTGCATTTACTTTCTTGTACTTAGAAACCTCTGATAATTTAACATAATTTTAGGGGATTCAGTCAAATGCTGATGGACTCATAATTTTAAAATCGATTGGCATTTATTTTGTATCAGCTCTTCTCTTTGAAGCACTTATTCTCAACTGGAAGGTAGTATTATCTCCCTTTCCTATGGGGAAGGGGCATCTAGAAATGAGAGTGAAGATCATTACAGTGACAACCATTTCAGGAGGTCAGGTTCAGGAATCCCAAACATTCTATAGTGATCTGACTAGTGTATACAATGGATTATTCCACCCACACCTTGTTGAGAAACTGCTAAAAGTGAATGTTTGGCCTTGATAATAAAGAGTTTGAATCATATTTGGGAATTTACATTTGAAATACACGTAGTAGCCATTATTAAACTCTACCAGCTTATTCAGATCAGGCCCTCAAAGAATATTTAGTATACATCTGTGTACTCATTTGGTTCTTTTCATTCAACTTCCTGGCTAGTTAATAGAGTCTGGGCACTGTGGTTAGAAGTCAGACTACAAAGATGAGAAAACACAGTGCCTGCCAACAGGGAACTTACAGTCAGGGAACCTATAGAAGCTTACACTTGAAGGAGAAACAAACATGCAAACAAAAGTTATCAGTTACATTGTACCATATTACATGGTATGTATAACTGAGAAAAACTGCTAACCCTTCCTATTTGTAAGTTATCCGGGTGTGGAAACATTAATATAGATGATGCTAGATGTTATAAAGGAAACTGTAGCAGGACAGAATTTAGATCAATATAAAGGGAAATTAATTTTGAAGAAGCAGCATTTATGATTATACTTTGAAGGAGGAGTTTTATTTTTGGCTTGAGACAAGGTCTCCCTGTAGCCTAAGCTAGCCTGGAACTCACTATGTAGACCAGGCTGGCCTTGATCTCACAGAGATCTGCCTGCCTCTGTCTCCTGAGTGCTGGGATTAAAGGCCTGTGCCACCACGCCTGGTGGAAGAGGACTTACAACATAATATCTTCCATATTTGTGGTTTAAAACTGCTTGCATTTGTACCATGAGTATGGGCTACAGTGGTAGTAGGTTACAGTGGGATTACGTAAGTGAAGTGTAAACTGCAGTTTAACTGTATAGAAGATTGTGAGTCTGGTTAAATTATGCTTCTTTCCTACAGATTTGCCCATTTGGCAGCAGTGAAACTATTAGAGGGGCTACAAAAATATGAAATAGATGATGAGACTGAAATTGATGGCAGTAATATGAAGTTTTTCATAAGACTTGGTGTTGAGGGAAGCACTGACACCAAGGATGATTTATGCCTGAGTGAATCAGATAAAACAGAGGCCAGAAGTAAGTATGCTGCCTCTGTCATGAATCAGCCTTTCAGAATACTATGGCCAGGGAGCTGGGGAGATGCTCCATAGGATAAAGCCATTGCCACACAAGCATGAGGACCTGAGTTTGAATCACTAGAACTCATGTAAAACTGGTAAACTCATGTAAAGCACACTTCTGTAATCCCAGTGTTCCTAAGGTGTGATGAGAGGCAGCAGCGGGAGACTCTGGAAGCTGTGGACCAGCTAACCTCAAACAAAATGGAAGGAAGGACCAGCTTTCCAAGTTGTCCTTTGACCTCTACACACAGGCTGTGGCATGTGTGTGCCTGTACTTACAGGAAATGTACATACATGGATGTGCTCACATAGACATATATATCATACAAACATCCCAGCCCAAAATAATTAAATACCGTGGTCACTTTTTACTACAAATTTGAAAATTATTCAAAAGACACTATCTACAAAGAAAACTAATTTGGTATTTTTGGAGCCAGAACTGTCCTAGTTTGTTTCTCCATTGCTGCGACAAAACACTCTGACCAATACCAACTTCTGGAGGAAGGGGTTTATTTAGCTTACATCTCCTTGGTCACAGTTTATCCAGGATCCCAAGGTAGGAACTCAGGGCAGGAACCTGGAGGCAGGAGCTGGAGTGCAGGCCATGGAGGAACGCTGCTTACTGGCTTGCTCCCCTGGCTCCTGCTCAGCCTGCTTTCTTATGTAACACAGGCCCACCTGCCCAGGGGTGGCACCACCCACAGTGGGCTGGGCCCTTCCACATCACTCAACAATCAAGAAGATGCCCCACAGACATGGCCACAGGCCAGTCCAATGGAGGCAATTCCCTAATTGAGGCTCCCTCAACCCAGGTATGTCAGGTTGACACTAAAGCTATCCAGCACAAGAACTAATTCCAAATTTTTGTCCTAAGAGTTGTTGAAAATATAAACATGTAAGATATAGCCTCTGGAATGGAAGAATGTACATGGAAGTTAAATAAGACAAAAGTATTTAAGTGGTTCATAAACATGGAGAAAGGTAAGAATGATAATCCTAGTACTTGGGAGGCTGAGTGCAAGAATCACAAGATTGAGGCCAGTCTGAGCTACACAGCTCAAAGCCAGGAGGACTACATAGGAAGACCCTGTCATAACCCCCCTCTTCCCCCCCCCAAAAGACATCATATCACAAGGATTTCCAAGGTTTGTTGGTAAGGGATTTTTAAGGTAAAAATGAAAGCAAATTTTATTCATTGTCTTCTGTGCCAGATTGTCATTATTGGAGAAATGGATCAATACAAAGCAACTTGTATTTGGTGATCGTACTCTTAGGGGGGCAATAAATAATTGATAAAATAGATGCATAAAGAAGATGAAGCAGGCCAATGCTATAGGTAACTGGAAGGCATCTGGGGCAGTATTTCAGAAGAGACTTGAATGATGAGAATGAACTAACTATGAAGATCTTGGGAGAACATTCTAAACAATATTTGCGAAGGCTGTGAATTGAGTTGATCAGTGTGGCTGATCAATATGAATCAGTAAGGATGTCGTAGAGGGTTTAGTATGCCAATGGATGAAGGAGGTATGCCATATGCCATTTATCCAGCATATTTGTGGATACATACTGCATGTATTGCCCAAAGCTAAAAGTTGTGGTAGTACATTATATACAGTTCTATATTTTGGAATTTAGAAAATACTCTGAACTGGTCAATGAAGTACCAAAAATAGTTTCTGAAATTGTGCTTCATTGGTTATTTCTCTTTCATCATCCACATGTCCTTACTGAGTAGTGGTTCTGTCAGGCAATGTGAAAGTGCCAAGGTTACAGTGGTAAACAAAATAATTTCTCTATAGTTTTGGCCTGATTTTTTAAAACTATGGAAGTGTTTATCATCTGTCTTTTAAGCTCAATAGCAGCAATATTTATAACCTACTGTATTTGTTAGTATATTTCCCAAAATATTTTCAGTTTTTAGAAAAATTATTATTTTTATTAATGTGCATGTGTGTTTCTGCCACATGTGTGTAGGTTCCTTTGGAGGCCAGAAGAGGGTGTCAGATCACCTGGATCTACAGTTACAGGTGCTTGTTAGTCACCTGGTAGGGGTGCTGGGATCTAAACTCAGGTCCTCTGGAAGAGCAGCAAGTACTCATAACTGTTGAACCATCTGTCCCTATTTTTTTCTTTTTTTTTGAGACAGGGTCTCCCTGTAGCCCCAGCTGTCCTGGAATTCACTATGTAGACCAGGCTGGCCTTGAATGCACAGAGATCCGGGACTAAAGATGTGTGCCACCATGCCATGACTCAGTCCCTATTTTTTAACTTAAAAAAGGAAAAAAAAAAACCCAGAAAACTGATTACATACTTTTCTTTTACATACTAATCATATTATGAAGACATAAATGCCAACTACCTAATTTTCATGATTACCACTGGGAGGACAATCTTAATCCATTTTAATGATGTCTTAGTGTGCTCAGGTTGCTGAAATTAAACACCAAAGACTGGGAGGGTTAAAGGACAGAAATTTAGATCTTAAAATTTGGGCCTGACATCCTAGATGAAAATCTAACAGGATTCTTTGGTGATGAAGGATCTATTTTTTTGTTTGTTTTGAGACAGGGTCTCCCTGTGGCCACAGCTGGCCTAGAAGCTTGCTATGTAGATCAGGCTCACAGAGATCCACCTGCCTCTTCTTCCCTAGTGCTGGGACTAAAGGTGTGGGCCACCAAGCCTGGAAAGGATCTGTTTTTGAGTTTGATATGATCATTATCCCCAAATGGAAGTGTGAGGAGGGATGAGGGAAGGACCTGAGTGTGAGTACAAACTGGCCAGAATGATTCTAATGACATCCCACAAGAACAAGATGCTTGTTCTTATACCATCTGACACTTAAGCACCTTCCAAAGACCCTTCTCCAAGGAACATCACATTGGAATATATAACTTCATTGTGAATTTGGGAGGCTACAAATTCAGTTCATAACAGGGATGAACATTAAAAAATTCTAAATTAGTGAAAGTCAAGAGCATTTTTTTTCTCCCTAGGTTATTTATTTGACACAAACAGACACCCAGAATCCAGTGGGGCTGTGGCTTTTATAAGTGTTATTATGATTATCTTTTAACATATTCGAATGAACTTGAAGTTTGGTAATTGGAGAAAATTTTAATTTTACAAAACTGAAATACTGTTTTGCATTTCTGTAGAAATTCACAGTTTATAAAACAGTTCCATCATTCACAGTAAGCCTGTGGGGAAGATAATCTGTTTTTTTTTTTTCTCAAGAAACACTACGTATTACATCCTTTGATAAATAAAGACCCCGAGGTTTGGAGATGCTGAGTTACTTGTCCAAAGTCTCCCAGTGGCTGGAAGTAAGACATTGAGTCTTCTTTATGTAGTGCCCTTGTTACTATAACCATTTCCATCCTAAGGGAATGTGTTCATGCCACATAACCTTAATGTTTCTTCTCATGATGTCTGGTCGGAGTCATGATTATACTAATGGATGAGAAGAATGGTTCCAATGGCTCTCTGAATGGTGAAGAAATTTGAAAAGAATGTGTTTAAACTGAGGCTAACCTAAACATAAGCAGCCATAGGAATGAACAGTAGATCTTGGGCAGTGGATTCAGACATCAGAGCTTAACCACGTTTTAGCTCTGTTACTCTAAATCTTAGTTTCCTCATCTATGAAAATCAGGATGTTAATATGTTACCCTGACAGAGTTATTAGAAGGGTTAATTTCATACACTAGAGAACAGTAGAACTCCGAAAATGTCAGTTCCCTTCCTTTTAATCTCGGGGGGGGGGGTTGTTATTCTGGTTGGAAGAACCAGTTGCGCCTAACCTATATTTTCTAAGAAAATTTTGAAATTTAAGTCTAGTTTTATGTATTTATCCTTTAAAAATACTTAAAAGCTCCCAGTACACTATCAGACTCACTCTTTAAGGAGAACAAGAGACTCTTCCATTGTAAATATAACCAAGGGAGAACCTGAAGATGATGGCCTCAATTTTCTCTAATTTTCTGACATGCAGTAGATTATAAATAGTCCTGTAATTACTCCTCATCAGGAAACACTGCTAATTTTCTTTAAACTTTCTTTCCTATAACATCAGTTGTCATCTGCACCAGAAACCCTTCAGGTAGGCATTTCATTGCTTGTGTCACTGATATTTATCCCTCTGCGTATGTATCATACTCCCTTCAACCCCCTCCCTAAGCAGCAGACTGGTTCTGCTATAGAAGAACCAAATGTTTGATAGGACCAACATTCTGTAAGCATATACACTGTTATCTAAATTAGGTTCTTATTCAACTGTCTTGCAGAGAGAGCCTATAAGAAAATTGAAGAATTGAAACAACTTCTAGCAATTGCTGAGAGCAACTTCAAACACTTGGGTGGGATAACAGAAGAGGATCTAAAACAGAAGGAAGAACAGCTCGAATCTGAAAGGTAATTTATTTAATGATTTGTATTTAGGTTCCTCTGAATACCATGTGAGGGTTTCTTACCAGAAACTTGTTCTTTCATCCTACAAGAGTGTTAAGTCTGCTTGAGTTTGCACAGGTCTTGTACATGCTGACACCATTGCTGATGGTTCATGTGAACAAGGTCCCAGGAGCCTATAGGACTCTTATTTCCATATGGTCATATACCTCCTCCCTGGCTCTTAAAATCTGTCCCCTCTTCCGCAATGGTTCCTAAGTCCTGGGTGCCTAGAGTTTAATATAGGAGTCCTGTCCAAGGACCCACACTATGAAGACTCTTATTCTCTACACTTTGGCCATTTGTGTCCCTTTTTGTGTTCATTGCCCTCTATTGCATGAGGGAGCTTGGTTGATAAGAGTTGAGATATCCATTAGTGTTCTCTGTATCATTAGTATTCTCTGAGCCTTAGGTGTAGAGGTTGCATTGTAGATGTGTCACAGGCTTGGGCAATTCACAGATAGTCTCTGTGTGTGACCGGTTGTGGAACTCTGTAATAATCTCCATCTGTTGCAAAAGAAACTTCTTTGATGAGTACTGGAATACTTGTCTATAAATATAAGGATCCATATTTTGCACATAGGAAGAAACTACATTTGTCCAGCCTTGGGGTTTTCTCTAAGATCTATGACCTCTCAGACATGTGTATTTGCCTATGTTTACAGTACCACACATGAGTTTCTTCCCATTGAGTGGGCTTTAAGCCCAGTTAAATAGCTATTGATTACCCCCAAGATAAAAGTGCCACTACTAGGGGCTGGAGAGATGGCTCAGTGATTACACTGACTGCTCTTGCAGAGGACATGGGTTTGATTCCCAGCATATACATGGCGGCTAACTGTCCATAACTCCAGTTCTAGGGCATCTGACTCCCTCTCCTGATCTTCGAGGGCATTGCATGACATGTGTGTGCCTATCTACATGTAAGCAATAGAGTTATACACGTAAAATAAAAATAATTTTAAAATAATTTTTTAAAAAAGTGTCACTACTGCCCAATATAGTTCACTATGCAGGCCATTGTTATGGTTATTAGGCCTTAAAGCTGGGGTTGGACCATCGATTGATGTTTTCCCTTAGTAGCTTGCAGAGTGTTCTTTAAAACTATGAGAGCCAGCCATCAGGGGAGGTGGCTTCCAGGTCAGTTCCAGCTTCATTGTCTAAATCCTGAGTCCAAAGTATGTCATGTCTTCAGCAATAGGGCCTTACCTTCAAGTTCTGGGAGGCAATCAAGGGCTGTGGCAATAGCCTGTATAATTTTAGAAGTCTCTTGGACCACTCTGGCCAACAACTCAAAGGGAGATTTCTCCTGTCTGGCATTGTTTCTTGTTATGTAACCTTCAGCTATACACATGGACTCATGTAGATATATTTTATGTATAACTTTCCAGTAGGTTTTTTGACTAATAATAATTCCCTCTGGTTTTTTACACTAGCTTTTATGAGGAAAATAGGGATACTTTAACTGGGGAGGGCATGGAGAGGGTTAGACAGGAAGAGGGGAGAGATAAATAATGCCTAGCTAGTGTAAAAAACCGTCTCTGGGTTCGATTCCCAGCACCCACATGATGGCTACTAACCATCCTTAACTCCAGGGTACTCTGTGGCATTGCACCACACAGGTGCACTCACTTACATGCAGGCAATATACTCATACACATAAAATTTAAAAAAGCCCATCTCAACCATCTTTATGTGTATAGTTTAGTAGTGTTAAGCATGCCATTGTGATTCTAATACCCTAACCTCTTTTCATCTTGTAAAACTTACACTATTTATGGAGTTAAAATTCTTTGAGAGGCAGGCATAGTGGCACATACCTTTAATCCCAGCACTTAGGAGGCAGAGGCAGGCAGATCTCTATGAGATCAAGGCCACCCTGGTCCACATAGTGAGTTCCAGGCCAGCTGGGCCTGCAGGGAGACCCTGTTTTTTTCTCTTTTTTTGAGACCACAGGTATGTTAAACTGTTAATCAACCACCCAGGTGACATGATCTCTAAAACAGCCTCATCAGATGGAATGGCTTTGAAACCCATTCCTTTGTCTACTGATAATAGTTTCCCTCTGAGATTGCCTTGTGTCTGAAGGCAGTGAGTAGTTGCACAGCTGTCTTCACCCTTTATCTCCTCCACCTTAAATTGGCTCTCTGGACATTGACATCTCTCTTGTAGTTTATAGCTGCTAAAATAGAGATGCCTTGTGATGCTTTCTCTTCCTGCTTTCTGCCTGTCTGCTTTCCAAAGTGAACAGGGAACAAAGGGCACAGGAATGAGGCTTCAAAGTCAATCAAATTTAGTCTGTAAAGAGAACTGTGAGCTGCACGAGGATTTTCTTTCTTCTCTGTTTGCCCCTCCCTTTCCTCTTTGTTCCTTTTCTTCATACTCTTGGAACTTACTGTTTCCTTTTCCTCCATCTTGTTCTGAATTCAGCCAAAGAGTATGGTAAAAGTATTGAGAAACACCTAAATTTTTATAAGGATTACTGTGTTGTTCTTCTATGGATAGATACTTGGGAATTTAAAGAGGAGACAAAACTTTGGCCCGAATACTGTACCTCTCAACGAGATTTTTTTTGTTTGTTTTTGTTTTATTGAGACAGGGTCTTCCTGTAGCCCCAGCTGACCTGGAACTTGCTATGTACACCAGGCTGGCCCTGAGCTCACAGAGATCCACCTGCCTCTGCCTCCTGAGTGCTGGGATTAAATGCATGTGCCACCACGCCTGGCTCTCTCTATGAGATTTTTGAAAATCTAGAAAGCTGTGGCTGACGCTTTTCAAATTTCTTGGTATCTCAAAGATCACATCATATAATCAGTGTGTCTAACTTGCTTTAAATGTCTTGAGACGTAGAATAATTTTAGTGTTAGTCTTGCCTAAGAACTTGATTGAAAGTTCTTAGATCATTTGCAATATAGAAAAGAACTTAAGTGTTGAGCAGTTGTTTTCTGGTAATGAGCTTTAGATTTTCCCTTGCTTCTTTCCTCAAGCACCTTACTACACTCCCTTTGCTGCTGCTGGTGTTGCATCTGAGCACTGTTACATGCGAGGCAGCACTGGAAATGCAGCATGAATTCATGCAGTCTTCACTACTCCATGTGGGTGTTATCTCACTGTATAGATTATGAAACTCAGAATTAGTATAGAGGTTAAAAAATGTGCATAAATTCACAAAGGAAATAGTAAGGGTGTGAGGGTGGAGCTAGGTATGAGTCTGAGTCTATGACTTTAACTCTAAGATCATTACAGTTTTAAGAATCCTTAATGGAGCCGGGTATGGTGGTGCACGCCTTTAGTCCCAGCACTCAGGAGGCAGAGGCTGGTGAATCTCTGTGAGTTCAAGGCCAGTCTGGTCTACATAGCAAGTTCCAGGCCAGCTGGGGCTACAGAGAGACCCTGTCTCAAAAAAAAAGAATCCTTAATGGAATTTTACTTTAATGATCACAAAATAATTTGTCATTATGAAATAAAATACTGATGTAAGTGATTATAAGAAATCTTTATTTCTTTTTATTGTGTGTAAGTGGGTGTACAACAGTTCACATGACAATTAAGGAGTTACTTAGCTCTTTCTACTATATGGATTCTGGGGATTGAATTTAGGTTGTCAGGGGTGGGTCACAAAACTTATATTGATGGCCTGCTGGTTTTCTGGAGCATCTGGGTCAATGGGAGTAAACTTCTGGTAGGCTTCCTAGAGGCATTCCAGAAAGGCAATGGGAAATTCCTGATTTCCTTGGATTACCTCCATTACCTTTGAAAGGTAGGTGGGTTTCTAGCTGCTCCTCTCATTCCAGTCAGAAAGGCTTGATATCTAGTGCCCCCTTACCTTGGTCAGTGTTGGGATCCCAGTTTGGAAGGATCGAAGGCAAAAACCCTCTCGACTCTGGACTCAGCATTACCTCCCTCTGCCCCAGGATCCGCCACTGCCTTTTGGGCCTTGGTCAAGTTGGGGTCCCTCCCCTCAGCTGTGAAAAGGGTTCTGAAAAGTTGTCTACAATCTGCCCACATTGGTTGGTGGGAAGAATATGGTTTCCAACAAGCTGATAATTTCCAACAAGCTGTTAAGAGCTGGGGTTTCTCAGATTCTGTGCCTTCCAGTGATACCGGTCACTAGTTGAGAAGGGGACATAGACCATAAAGGGGGGGGTGGTCAGGCTCTGCCCCTCTTCTTCCAAAGGAGGAGGCCCAAGAGGGGGGGACTTCCCTAAGGGGGAGGACAGCTGGAAGGGGGGAGATTGATTATAGTCTTGCCCACTCTGGGTATTGGAGGGTGAAGATAAGTCTGGATAGAGCATTGGAGCAGGAGGGGCAGGGGCAGTAGGATCTTGAACCTGCTGAGGTTGGGGGTTTTAAGGCAGGGGAAAGTCATCCTCCTTCTTGGGGTGTCAAATTGGGGGTCTGGACTGTGGTTTTAGGGTGGACTCTATTTCTAGTCACCAGAATGGAGGATCCCATTCGAATGGCAGAGCATTGCATTCAGAGAGGGTGATGGAAGAGGAGGGAGAGCAATCGGTCAAATGTATGGGAATTGATCCGGATGGCTAGGGTTCCTGGTGACCACCTACCGGATTCATTGGTTGGTTGCAGTGTCAAAGGACTCTGCATCCATCCAACTGATGTTAAAGGTGGGCCATTCCAATTCACAATAAATGGGAAGTTTTCTTGGTGACAGTTTGACTCTATAATCTGCCTCTCGGAACTCACGGAAATTCTTCAACATGCAGTCCAACGGAGTCAGAATCTTACTCTAGCCAGTTCTATTTCTGGAGTAAAACTTACAGGTACACCAGAATACACAAATCCACCAGTCAAATGTAAGAAGCACAAAGAGACAGAAAATCCCAGCAAACTGAGCCGACCAGACAAACATGGACCGAAGCCTGAACATGCGGCACCTTCACGCCTTCACTCACACACCTTAATCAGATGGGCTAGGAGAACGTCTCCTTCTATCCCTGGAGACTGAACTACAATTGTGTCCAATCTGTTCAAAATCTCCCCAGATGTCTGGTACCCAGAAAAAACTCACTGATTCGTTCTGAATTCAGCTTGCAGCAGCCGGCGGTTTTTACTTTCAATTTGGACAATTTGACTCAAGAATTTGCAGCAGCTATGAGCCAGGCTCCCACAGACCACCGAACCCGCCAGGGGGTTCGCCCCTGAAATCGGGCCTGTCCCAGTCGGCTGCCTGGGTCTGGGGGTCTCCCGGCATCTTGCTGGGGCCTCCAAATGTTACAGAGTTCAGGACTACCAGGAAAAGACCACCAGACACGGGGTCAGATTTTAATTCAAAGTTTTATTCAAGCTAGCTTGGGCTACAGTCCTCACCTCAGAGGGAGTGGGGAGGCTACCTTTTAAAGCAGAAAATGCAAGGGGAATTTCCGGGTCTGGGTATTGATTACACAAGGCAGGCAGTGGTTAATCATCTCATGACAGTTATACAATTGCAGGGTCTGTGGTAGAGGGACTTTGGGGAGGGGGACCACAGTTTTGATACTTTGTTTAAAGATCAAGTAAACAGGACATTTCCCAACTTTTTGAACAAACAAGTAGAGGCACAAGGAAAACAATTACTGAGTGGTAATTGACTGAGTGGTGACATTACTCTGTGGAGCCTGCAGCTGCAAGGAATTCAAGATCCCATTTTTTTCAGGACACAGCGATAAGCAAGTTTACTGAAGCCAGAATGAGCAGTTAAAGACAGCAGATAGGGGCTTTGCAAAACCTGCTTTTGTTCTCTTGTGGTCTTACAAGGAAGGCCATATGATTTACAAGGACTGGGTTACTTACAAGAACTGAGGGTAGGAGAGAATTCAGCTCAGGGTTACTTCCTTAAGATGGAGCTTCCAAAATGGAGCCTCTCTGGCCAGCACACTCCCTGGAAGTTGTAAGAGAAATTTATATCCTACCCATGAGTGGAGTCACATAGACTTGGCCAGACTAGTCCAAATCATGTGGTTTGGACTTCCCACCAGCTCCCCCAAATTTATGAAAGACAGATATGCCCTCTGTTCAGGGGATTCTTGTTCTCCATCCTTTAGGTCCCCTTATCATGTTGTCTACTTTTTGGGGGTTCTTTTTGACACAGAGTCTCCCTATAGCCCCAGCTGACCTGAGCTCACAGAGATCTGCCTACCTCTGCCTCCGAGTGCTGGGACTAGACGTATGCCTGCGTGGGGAGGGCCCTATGTTCTTATGCTCTCCTACTTTGAGGCCCAGTCATAGCTGCCCCCTCCCACAAGGTCACTAGGCTCTCTCCCCCAATGAAGCTCCTTTTGCAGTGCTAATTGGTCTTAACTTCCTTCACAAGCCAATCACCTTTACTCTCCTCTCTATTATAGTAGGTGGCAAGTGCCTTGGTTTGCTGAGCCATGTAGCTGACCCAATGTGGTTTTTAAACAGTGTTTTTTTTTTTTTTTAAGATTGCTTCATTGCTTGTGTCAGAATGTCGTTTCATGTCAGCTGGTATAGTAATGTTTCTTCTAAATTTTATCCTGCGTGAAAGTGAATTCTCTAACATTTGTTCTCTACTTGGCGTTAATGTGCATCTTAGATATTTATTCTTTGGGTACAAGCTCCTGATCTTTGATATAGTTAAAAAAAATAAGAACCCTGTATAAATATTGGTTTGAGGAATGCTTTTTTTAAAATAAAATTATTTTATGTGTATGAGTGTATTGCCTGCATGTAGATAAGTGCACCCATGTTGTGCAATGCCTACGGAGGTCAGAAGAGGCCATCCATCCCCTGGAACTGGAGTTACAGACAGTTATTAGCTGCCATGTGGGTGCTGGGATTCGAACCTGGGTCTTCTGCAAGAACAATCAGTGTTCTTAACCACTGAGCCATCTCTCCAGCCCCGAGGAATGCTTTTTTTTTAGGAATGCTTTTTTGTTGTTCATTTGGTTAATCAAATTCAAGATATAACAAAACATAGTTGTATTACTCTATCCTGGGGCTAATTTTCTTTTCTGGTATTTTTGAGACAGGATCTCCCTATAGCCCTAGCTGGACTGGAACTCACCATGTAAACCAGGCTGTCCTTGATCTCACAGATATCCCCCTGCCTCCTGAGTGCTGGGACAAAAGGTGTGTGCCACCACACGAACTGAGGATAATTTTTTTACTTGTTGAAGTTTTAGGCTTCTAGGGTTGACATTCCTCTACCCTATCCCCAGTCTTAACCAGGACTTGTACACAATACTCTTAGATTCCCTCCCAGGGACGGGATACCCAACCCAGCAGGTCTTGAGAATTATTTTTCCTTGTCTATTAGGTTATAGACTCAGTATGCTTCTACTGTTATTCTTTTTCATAAAAATTAATTTATTTAAATATTTTTTTACACGTATGAGTATTTTGCCTGTATGTATGTAAGCGTACCACATGCGTGCAGTGCCCTTGGAAACCAGAAGATGACATTGGATCTCCAGGAATTAGAGTTATAGATGGTTGTTAGCCACCATGTAGGTCCTCTCTAAGAGCACCCAGTATGCTTAACCCAAGCCATCTTTCCAGCCCCCTTACTGTACTAGTCTTACCATTCAGTTATAGGTAGATTAAAAAGTCTGGTTCAAGTCACAGTATCTCGTTTGGATTATAACATCCTCTTCATAGGTCTCACAGCTCCCCTACCCTGCACCCATACTCCCAGAGAAATCATATTAAAACTTAAGGTTGTTCTGTTGCTATGCCCAAGCCCTCCATTGGCTTCTCATTTCACTCAGTAAAAGCCACAGTCCTTACTCTGACCAATGATGCCCTACTTGTCTGGCTCCATAACTTGCTCCACATTACTGTCTTATTCTTTAAGGTATTCCAAATATGTTAGCTTGGGCTTTTGCACTTGCTCCCCATCTGGAATGGTGTTTACACAATGTCTGATTGCTTCTTTCTTATTCCTTTCAAGACTGATCAAAGCCCTTCTCAGGAGTCTTCCCTAGCTGCTGAATATGAAGTGTTAGTCATCTCTTCTACATTTTGTATTCCTTTTTACTGCTTTTATTTTCTTCTCCCTTAGCATTTGTCACCTTCCAGCATACCATGTATTTTACTTCTTTACTGTCTGTTTTCTTCCCCTGAGGTATATGGTAAATAGAGGCTTTTTGGTCACTACTTGTCCCCAGTACTTAGATCACTGCTGGTTTGTATGAAACCCTAAATACACAGTTGTTGAATAAATGATTTATTTGTCTTAAATATAGCATATAAATGCTTTCCACTATTACCCAAAATAATTGTTAGATAGATTGGAATTGACTGAAAACTCTTTTTTATAGGACCATCAAAGAGCTGCAGGGCCAGCTGGTGTATGAACAACTCCGCAGAGAAAAGTTAGAATATCAGTTGGATGAATATCGAGCAGAGGTGGATCAACTCAAAGAAACACTGGAGAAAATTCAGGTCCCCAAATTTGTGCCTGTGGTTGGTATTAAGACATTTATTTTTCTTGGTAAAGAGTATACAAAAGTGGTTAAGAGTATAAGCTTTGAGTTGGGGCCATTTGAGTTTGAATCCTGTGTATAACCCTTTTTTTTCCAGCTTTTTGAGGCAGGGTCTCCCTGTAGTCTCAGCTGACCTGGAACTAGCTATGTAGCTCAGGCTAGCCTTGATCTCACAGAATCTGCCTGCTTCTGCCTCCCAAGTGCTGGGATTAAAGGCATGGGCCACCTTTCCCGGCCTTATAACCTTTTTTGATTTGGGTAAGACACCTAACCTATTTGTGCTCCTGTTGTAAACTGAAGATAATTATACTTCAGAGCTGATGTCAGGATTAAAGGAATATATCTATACTTGTAGGTCTGTCTCTATAATCCTTCCCCTCCATGAGAACAGGAGCCTGATTCATAAATGTTCAGTAACTTGTCATTGTTCTTATACTATGTGAGGAAAAGATATCCCTTATAAGCAGAGTAATCAATAAGAATTTTGAACCAGTTAGAGAGTATGTATATTTTAAAATTCTCAATAACCAAAACAGAGTGCTTAAATAACCAAATATAGTGCTAAAAGTTGATTTTAGAAGTCTTCAGCTGTTTGAGGGTGGAAATGATGAGATATAGAAATTGTCAGTGTTCTTTTGCTTAACTTATGGAGTAATACAAACTAACATCTTACATTTTACAATGTTCTTTTACATGTTATCATATGTTATTTGACCTGCCCCCATTTAATATATGGAGAAACCAGTCTAAATTCACATTGGTAGTAATGATGGAATCAGTATTCAAACTTTTACTCTTTGAATTCATAGTCTTGGCTTTGTTTGTTTTGTTTTTGAGACAGGGTCTTCCTATATTCCCTGTTGGCCTGGAACTCAATATATATACTAGGCTGGCCTCAATCTCACAGAGATCTTCCTGTCTCTGCCTCTGGGGTTTTGAGATTAAAGGTGTGCACCACCATGCCTGGCTGCCTTTTTTTTTTTTTTTTCCTTCTTGATAAATGAAAATTGTGGATTTGGAACTCAATACAACTTCAGAAAATGCTTATTCACAGTGGCAAAAAAGACAGATATTTAAAGAAGGAAGAAACAAACACCCCCCACTAACCAGTAAAAACAACAGTCTCCCAAAACTAATAGAAGAATAAGATTCAGAGACTAAGTACAGAAAAATTAATGAAGTAGAGAAAACAGAGTAAACTGACTGTAAGAAACCTCAAGTAGTGATTTACTTTAGGCCATCTGCTCTTAAGTTTTGAGCCTTACTCTTCTACAAGTGACAATGGCTCTGGTGTGGCCCCGTGGACAACTCATCCTGACATTATGGGTCAGAGACACAATATTTTCTTCCTATAAAGAAGTTTCTCTTCACTCATCATGGATATATCAATTCTGTTTCAGACCTCTTTCACATTGTATGATCTGTAACAAAAACTTCCTGGCTTTTTATTTTATTCAAACTAATTGCTGGTTTCATTAGTGATCACTTCTGAGATATTAAAATAATATATTTGCTTGCCAGATATTGAAAGTAGATGTTTTTCCTTTTACCAAATTCTTCTCTCCAGAAGAAGCTAATGTTAGCAGTTTAGTACATCTCATACTAGAAAAAATTTCCATTTATCTATAAACACAAGTATATGTACATATCTCCTCTCCTTCCCATCCTCCTTTTATTATTTTCTTGAGACAGGGTCTTACTACTGTTGACCTAAAATTTACTGGGTAAAATTTTAGGCTGGCCTCAAATTCACAATCTCTCACCTCAGCCTCTTGAATATTGTGATTATAGGTGTGTATCACCATGCCAAGCTGTTAGGTATCTTGTTTGACCGCACACCTAGTGTGAAGCAGGAACTCAGATACTCTTATCTCCTGATCATAAAATGACTCACACTTGTACTTCAGTGCTATTATCACCCCTTGGGGTCCGTCCCTTATTTCTAATTGCTACCTGGATATTTCTACCTGAAATTCCTGGAGGTACCTAATTTAAAAATGTCTAAAACTAAACCTAAAATCAAAACCAGATTTTCATCCCCTGATCTTTTTAACTCAATGGTTTCACTGTTAATAGCTTTCTTTTCTCCTTTATCCCATAAAAAGTGGCTTATCTTACAGAGAGGGGCATATTCTACTTTTTGCTTGCTGTTCTAACAGGAGTCTCTGTCTATCTGAAGTGATAGTCTTTCCTTATCCAAATTCATTTGGTTAACAACAGTCAGCTTGCTTTTCTTGTCATTCCTAAAAAAATGTTTTCCTGGGGCTGGAGAGATGACTCAGTCGGTTAAGAACACTGGCTGCTCTGGCAAAAGACCAGGGTTTGAATCCCAGCACACACATGGCAGCAAACAACTGTCCATAACTCTGGTTCCAGGGAATCCAATGCCTTCTTCTGACTTCTGTGGGCACTGCATGACATGGCTGCACTTACATGCAGGCAATACACTCATATACATAAAATAAAAACAATAAAATATTAAAAAAATCTTTTCCTGAATAAAGTACTGATTGATCAGTTTGGCATTTAGTTGTAACCTACCTTATTAGCCTTATATTTGTCTATTCTTCTATATTCAGTCTATTTTGAACTTACCGTGTACTTCCCCACCACCAAGCCCTCTTATATCTGAAGGCTCCCTATCAAATCTGCCTCTTAAAATCTAGGAAGCATCTCATTTGTTATTCCTTTCCTGAGACTTCTGACCACATTTTATCTCTCTTTCTGTCAAGCACTTTGTACTGCTTTTAGGGAATTTGATTTTTATTAGTTTAGTTGAATACTTACTTTACCCACAGAACTGAAATTTTAAATTTTATGGGATCTTTAACTCAACTTAAGATCTTGGTCATCATCAGTAATAGGTATTATTACTTAACTGAATGTTGGCTTAAAGTCCAAGGCTTTATATTTAGCACATACTACTTTAATATTAGAAATCAAGAAACCAAGTGTCAGATAAAAGTTTGTAAAGTTATAGTTTGTTAGATATGTAGTCATAATTTGAACCTGTCTAGCCTCAAATCCATGCATACTTTTTAAAAAAATATTTTATTTATTATTTTTATTTTATGTGTATGTGTGTATTGCCTGCATGTAGGTAAGTGCACCTGTGTCATGCAGTGCCCACAGAGGACAGAATAGGCTGTCGGATCCCCTGGAACTGGAGTTACAGACAGTTGTTAGCTGCCATGTAGGTGTTGGGATTTGAACCTGGCTCTTCTGCAAGAGCAGCCAGTGTTCTTAACTGCTGAGCCATCTCTCCAGCCACATCCATGCATACTTTTTACAACACTTGTTACTGCCACTGTAAATCCTCCAACCTCACTCTTACTATGCATGTGAGAAATTTTGGCAAATTTGTCCTTAAGAATTTAGATGATTCCAAGTTTACAGCTGAGGAAAGGGGAGAGAACAGAGACATAGTTTTGTTTTTGTAGGTTGTGTTGGATAGCGGTAACTTCCATGTTCACACACTGTTACACTATACTAAACCATACTCTGTATGAGATAACTCACTGAACCCATTAGCAATGGCCAAGGCAGGAACACCTTGGAGAAGTAATTCTAGCTATGGGCTCTTCCCTTTGGACATGAGCCTTGAAGGCCTGTTCTTAAAAAGTCTGTGCTCAAATCTGTCCTGTCTAAGTAGGTGCACAGCATTTTTTTACTAGAATTATTCAATAGTGATTAACATCTAGTGAACATCTGTTGTGTTCTCACCCCGCACTCCCTATTGTTCCTTCCCATGGCATATATTGATTCTTCTGTGCTAGGTCACGAGAACACCAAGCTAAAGAGAAAGATTTGGGAATAGTGGAGAATGGGGAAGAGTGGAAAATCAAACAAGAGTAGTAAAGACATACATAAAAGTTGGAATGGAGGAGTCAAGAAATATAAACCCTAGCCTTGTACAGCTTGTAAAGATTCCAAAAGAAGGCTTTCTAATAATTTCTACACTGAAGTTAAGAAGTGAAATGTCAGTCTAAGATAGAAGCAGAAATAACAAGTTGTTCTCTTTGGGGGATGTATTAAGTAGAGAGAGTTCTGAGAGACTTGAAGGTGTCTCCCAGTCTCAGGATTGAGCACATGAAGCACTGGTATTTCAGATTTGGGAATGGATTAACACAAAGGCTGAAAGGAAATTGATCAGAGCTGAAAATACTTAGCATGACTTTTTTTTTCCTTTTATGAGCAATGAAAGGGTATGCTAACATAAAAATTTTAACTCTCTTTTCCTTTGTTTATAGGAAGATGAGTTTTGTGAGTCTAGCAAAGAGAAGAGGCGAGTGAAAAAAAAAGTGTCTTCTGGGGGAGTGTTTGTAAGAAGGTACTAAGCAGTGAAATAATGTTAAATAAACACACTTTTTTTCCATTTTAAAAGATTGACATAAATGTAAATGTAAAAAAATGCTTCTCAATTTGACTCATAAGCTACAATTCTGAAGGTGAGAATATTGTATATAAATAGGTTGTTTTAAAATCCCATGGACTCAGTTGATATTCTCCTCCAATATAATTTTTATATATTTTTAAATTTTTTTAGAAGAAGCATTTCATTACAGCTTTAACATACTCAAAACAGTTTCCAGAGCAAAGATACATCTCTTTCAAAAGTGGCTATAAAATTTTTAGGTTCACTGTTGAATTAATAGTTATACAATATTGAACTCAGGATAAGCCCTGTAAAGACCCTGTAAGACATAAAATTGAATGAGATTTTAACCTTTAAAAAAGATCTCCATTTAATTTTAACATATACTGTTTCTTACAGAAAGACTTACTGTTTTTGCTAATAACACTGAGATGTTGGTGCATGCGTCTCTAATCTGTATGTATCTGATTATTACTGGTCATAATCGGTTGCACTTGGATCCTTGGCGCCTGTGTATGTCTATAACGTCATTGGGTAGATTTCAATGGTAATGTTTATCACCTTTACTAATTAACATGCCGTAAATTTTTATGCTTCCTCCTCAAATATAATTCATTTTTTAAAATTTGTTGATTTTTTTTGTGTGTGTGTGTGTATCACACAGAACATCCCAAACCATCTTATTCAACTATATACCCACTTCCCAGATGGCACCCTCCCATAGCCTCCCTCCTGCCACTAGAGCCCTTATACTCTGTTATCCCTGTATTGTCCACTGTGTTGTCGGCACCCCCAGCCATTCTCCAGTGTTTTTCCATCTGCTGAATTAGTCACCCTGTCTAGAGTTCCTTGTTTTAGGAAGATCAGCTGTGTTCTCATCTAGCAGCAATCAGTTGCCAATACTCCTTTAGATAAGATTGGGGTCTGCTGTTCATTTTCCCAGTTCTATACTGGGTTACTATCTGGGAGTCCCTTGGGCCACCCTGTCCAACAACTCAAAAGAAGGTATCTCCTATCTGGCATTGTTGCTTGTTATGTAGCCTTTAACTGTACATATGGACTCTTAAAAAATTATATTGGCCCCTTTAATCTTTGGTTATACTTTACTTTTGGGTGTTTAAGGCCATACAGTTGGCCCAGATAAACCAATTTATTTTTACTCTTAAGGCCATTTGAGGATCTGTTCCTCAGGGGTCACATGGGCTTGGGAGGAGACCCTGGCTCCTTTTACCAGTTCTGCCTATGTGAAGATAAGTCAAAGGTCCTGCTCAACCATTGCGGGCTTCGCTTGGAAGCATGGAGGAAATGATTCTGCTGTGTTGACCCTCTTCTTTGTAGACTGGACACTGGTTCAAGTCCATTTCATGGGGTCTCCAGGTCCTCCTTGATCAAGAGGACACGTGACCCACAACTACAGGACATTTTGAGAGACTCTCGTAGTCCCCTGGAACTAGTCAACCTTGGAGGGCAAGGAGCAAAAACTGTACTTTAAGTCCCTCTGACCAAATTAGTATAGGCCTCAAAGTATGCCTGTTAAACA